CATTAACATTATCTATAACTTTAAAGAGGACAGTGATGCTGTGGTGAAAATTCCTGATTCTCTGGGAGGAGTCAAAACCATATATTGTCACAAGACTGTGCTCTCCAGTGCTTCTGAAATGTTGGAAGTAAATTTTGGACCCAATTGGAGCAATGAAGAGGATGAAGATGGAAGAGCCATCATCAATGTTGAACATCTCATTGAAGTTGCCTCAGATCCAAGTGTAATGGAATTTATTATCGAGTATGCCTATGGAATTTTTGCACCAATCAAGGTTTCTTCCAAGCAAGTAATTCCACTCATTAAGGCTGCACATTTCTATAGAATTCAGGGCCTTCTCGATGAGTGTCTCTACTTGTGTGTGAATAGGGACAAGCTCTCCTTTTTCGAAGTGGCCGAATCTCTAGAGGATCATTTCGAAGACGAAACCATGGAAGCTTTTGAGGATGTTATGGTAGAAATTGGAACTGCCAATTACCCCTTCATTATTGGAGCAAGTGATGAAGAATTAATGAAATTGCCAAAGAGAATGCTTATTAAGATGTTCAGAAAGATTTACAAAACATACATTCCAAATATCAAAACCTTGTAACATTCTCGGTGGATTGGAGATAATGTGAATACAATGTATTTATTAGTTTTTGAAAATTCTCATTACAGTAACCAAATAGTCACGATATTTCTCTCCAAATAAAGAGATTACTTCTTCCTTGCTTTCAAAGGCAGATCTATTATTCTTCCAAACACGGAAACAGAATCTGTTTCTTGCATTCCATTCAGCTCCATCCTTATCCAAGGTCAATCTTACATGTTTGTAATAACCAGTAATTAACATCTTGACCTTTTCTTTCACAAGTGGAATATTTTTAGAGGATTGGAATGAGTTGACTAAATTGTGGAATGGAACAGATCCCTTCAAGTTTCCATGCAAGATTCCAGCAGCTTCAATTTCATCCTCAGATTGAATAAAGAGATTAGCAGTTTCATAGGATGCAGAATTGTTAATCAAATGATTAATGGAAATACTAATCTTTTTGCTAATTATTAGTTGAGTGATGGATTTCATAAATTTAATTGATTCTTCTTCATTGAAAGGAGAGTAATATTCTCCCTTTTCAATGGCAACTTTCTTCTTGTTTGGAGTTTGAAAGTTGACAGTTTGAATCAATAAACAAATGAGTCCAGATTTGCTATTTACCATTGAGTGAATATCAGAAATATCCTCCTTTTCATTCAAATACTCTGATGCTACCTTAATGAATGGTAAAATATTGGAACGGAAGGATTCGTCCAATTTCGAAACAAGACCAGTTGCAAGTTGACCTAATCTTTGATATTTCCTGAAGAAATTCCACATTAGTGTTAAATTC